CATCTACAAGCCCTACACAGTCTTTCTTAAGCCTGTTGGTTGGAAGTGGAGATAAGTAGGCAAAGCTATATCTCACAATACTTTAGATGATGGCGTTGTACATCAAACCTTAATGGTCGTATTGTTCTGCATCTACAAGCCCTACACCAGTCTTTCTTAAGCCTGGTTGGTTGGAAGTGGAGATAAGTAGGCAAAGCTTTATCTCACAATACTTTAGATGAGGGCGTTGTACCATCAAACTTTAATGGTCGTATTGTTCTGCATCTACAAGCCCTACACCAGTCTTTCTTAAGCCTAGTTGGTTGGAAGTGGAGATAAGTAGGCAAAGCTATATCTCTCAATACTTTATAGGCAAAGCTATATCTCACAATACTTTAGAGGAGGGTGTTGTACCATCAAACTTAATGGTCGTATTGTTCTGCATCTACAAGCCCTACACTAGTCTTTCTTAAGCCTAGTTGGTTGGAAGTGGAGATAAGTAGGCAAAGCTATATCTTTCAATACTTTAAGTAGGCAAAGCATATTTCACATTACTTTTGAGGAGGGCGTTGTACCATCAAACCTTAATGGTCGTATTGTTCTGCATCTACAAGCCCTACACTAGTCTTTCTTAAGCCTAGTTGGTTGGAAGTGGAGATAAGTAGGCAAAGCTATATCTCACAAAGTACAAAGCATATTTCACATTACTTTTGAGGAGGGCGTGTACCATCAAACCTTAATGGTCGTATTGTTCTGCATCTACAAGCCCTACATCCAGTCTTTCTTAAGCCTTGTTGGTTGGAAGTGGAGATAAGTAGGGAAAGCTATATCTCACAATACTTTAGAGGAGGGCGCTGTACCATCAAACTTTAATGGTCGTATTGTTCTGCATCTACAAGCCCTACATCAGTCTTTCTTAAGCCTTGTTGGTTGGAAGTGGAGATAAGTAGGCAAAGCTTTATCTCACAATACTTTAGAGGAGGGCGTTGTACCATCAAACTTTAATGGTCGTATTGTTCTGCATCTACAAGCCCTACACCAGTCTTTCTTAAGCCTAGTACACACAATCAGAAAATCGTCCGAAAAATACCGCTTTCAAACCAACCGTACGATAATTTGTTCGTTAGTACACAGCTTTCGTTTGAAATTATTAGAAGGGACAAGCATAAAACTTTTTCTCCTACGATACCAGATCATAACATTTTTGTTTAATCAGTAAAGTTTTCATCCGAGAATACAATACAAATATATATACAGGCGTACCTCAGTTTACAAATGCCTAGGTTAACGTAATTTTTGGTTTACGAATGAAAATCCGTTGAAAATAATGCCTCGGTTTACAAATTTTTTTCACAATACAAAGCAAGTTTCCCCAAGATGTATTGCACTTGGGAGGTTTATAGCGCCGGCCCCGTGCATGCTGGAGTCTGTGGGTAGCATGTGGCTTTGAGCGTGGAGGTGTTGGAGTGGTTTTTTGCAGCCATTCTGGAAATTTTGAATCATGTCCCTGTACAGTATTTATGCCTTTAAAGTGCACTTGATAAAGAGTTTTGAACAGATAAGACTTTTTTTTACTTTTTTTCTGACCTTCGGAATGGATTAATTGGTTTTCAATGCATTTACGATTATTTTTCGCAATACGAAGTAAGTTTGCCCAGGATGAATTTCGCCTGGGAGGTTTATAGTGCCAGCCCTGTGCATGCTGGAGTCTGTGGGTAGCACATGGCTTCGAGTGTGGAGGTGTTGGAGCGGTTTTTTGCAGCCATTCTGTAATAAATTTTTAATCATGACCCTGTACAGTATTTATGCTTTTAAAGTGCACTCTATAAAGAGTTTTGAACAGATAAGACTTTTTTTTACTTTTTTTGACCCCCGGAACTGATTAATTGGTTTTCAATGCATATACAAATTTTTTTTGCAATACGAAGCAAGTTTCCCCAGGATGAATTTGCACCTGGAAGGTTTACAGAGCTGGCCCCGTGCATGCTGGAGTCTGTGGGTAGCACGTGGATTCGAGTGTGGAGATGCTGGAGCAGTTTGTGCAGCCATTCTGGAAATTTTTAATGATGTCCCTGTACAGTATTTATGCCTTTAAAGTGCACTTTATAAAGAGTTTTGAACAGATAAAAGACTTTTATTTAAACTTTTTTTCTGACCTCTGGAACGGATTCATTGGTTTTCAGTGCATTCCTATGGGAAACCACATTTCGGATTATGAATTTTTCACAATCCAAAACGTCCCGCAGAACACATTCAATTTGTAAACCGAGGTACGCCTGTACATCACATCAGAATTTTTATTCTTTTCCAGTCATTTGTCCGATATTCTCATCGTGTGTACAGGGCTTTAACCTTTTAAACTCAGAGGAACCCTTAAAATAATTTTCTGGTCTCAGGGAACCCCTGATAATTTTCATATCTACAGCTCACAGTATATTAGTATGATGATCAATAGGAAGATTGCTTCTTAGATATGTGGTTAATGGAAAGAATCCCCCCTTACAGATCACATGTCAGTGGAAAGTTATCTGAGAGGCAAAAATTGCTGGTTGCTCAAGGAACCCCCAGTAACCTCTAGAGCAAGGGTCTCCAAACTTTTCATTCAAAGGGCCAGTTTATTGTACCTCAGACTTTAGGGGGGCCGGATTGTTGTCAGCAGGGGTAGAAAATGTTCCGGGCCCAACATCAGTGAGAATAAACACGGCCTCAGGGTTGGTGGTCAGTAAAAGGAAGAGTATTGCCCCATCACTGGTATTAGTGGAAGGAATAGTAACCCATCATTGGTATCAGTGGAAGAAATAGTGCACCATTGTTGGTGTCAGTAGAAGGAATAGTACCCCATCAAATTTCATGTCTCTGGGAACCCCAGCTAACATTTACCATATCTATAGCTCACGGTATATTTGTGATGGTCAATAGGAAGTATGCTTCTTATATTTGTGCTCAGTTGGAAGAATCCCCCCTTACCGATCACTGGTGTCAGTGGTTACTTATCTAAGAGGCAGAAAATTGCTCATTGCTCAAGGAACCCCTTGAAAAAAGGCTGCCCTACACAAAAAGCCAGTAAAGCTATAGCTATAAAGCTATATGTTGCACTGATGGGGGCTATGAAGTCTGAAAAAGTTTTATGTGAGTTTGCAATACTGGCTCAGTAAAAAGTATGGCTATATCCATGCTATACAACAAAAGGTCTGGATGTAACGAAGGCTAAAAGGTAAAAAATTAGTAATTTGCATGACTCTGCCACCTACCTATGCACAGAACTGAGATTCCTGTTTTTTTTTTTTTTTGAGGACGTGTAAATACTTTCTGTTAATGCAGGGGGTCTGGACTTTCTAAACAAAGGGCCAGTTTACAATACTTCAGACTTTTAGGGGGCTGGATCATGGCCAGTGGGAGTAGAAAATGTCCTGGCAACAGTGGAGCCTTTGCCCATGAAGAATGGCGAAGATACCCATTCACGTTTAAAAGCTGTTATAAACTGTAAAAGGATGCAGTGGGAGTAAACAATGTTCCATCTTTGGTATGAGGGAAATTATTAGTGCCACATCATTGGTATCAGTGGAAAGAGTAGTGCCCCATCATTGGTGTCAGTGGGAGGAATAGTGTCCTATTTCTGGTGTCAGTGGGAGGTATAGTGCCCCATTGTAGGTGTTAGTGGGAGGACTAGTGCCTCATCATTGGTGTCAGTGGGAAGAATAGTGCCCCATTGTTGTTTTCAGTGGGAGGAATAGTTCCCCATTGTATGTGTCAGTGGGAGAAATAGTGCCCTATTCTTGGTATCAGTTTGAGGAATAGTGCCCCATCGTAGGTGTCAGTGGGAGGAATAGTGCCCCATCATTGGTGTCAGTGGGAAGAATAGTGCCCCATTGTTGTTTTCAGTGGGAGGAATAGTGCCCCATTGTATGTATCAGTGGGAGGAATAGTGCCCCATTGTATGTATCAGTGGGAGGAATAGTGCCCTATTCTTGGTATCAGTTTGAGGAATAGTGCCCCATCGTAGGTTTCAGTGGGAGGAATAGTGCCCCATCATTGGTGTCAGTGGGAGAATAGTGCCCCATTGTTGTTGTCAGTGGGAGGAATAGTGCGCCATCATTGGTGTCAGTTGGAGGAATGGTGCTCCATCATTAGTGTCAGTGGGAGGAATAGTGCCCCATTGTAGGTGTCAGTGGGAGGAATAGTGCCCCTTTGTTGGTGTCAGTGGGAGAAATTATTGCCCCATTGCTAGTGTCAGTGAGAGGAATGGTGTCCCAAGGGCTGGACAAAGGCAAAGGGCTGGAGATTGGAAACCACTGTGTTATAGGAAGGAAATGCTGTATCTCTTAGTACTTTAGAGGTTGGCATTTGGTCCCTTTTGTACCACCTTACCATACTGTTCCTCTGGATTCACAAGTCCTACACCAGCCTTTCTCAACCTTTTTACCCCAAAGGAACCCTTGAAATAATGTCCAGGTCTAGGGGTACCCTGGCTAAAGTTAATGAATCCAGGTCAGTGGGGAGAAAGCTTCTTTGGGCTTTTCAGTTCTCTTTGCACTGTCACACTGTGACCTTAATGGCTGTACTATTCCCCTCAGCTCACAAGCCCTACACCTACACCAATCTGTTTAACCTTTTTACTCAATGGGATCTCTTGAAATAATTTTCAGTACTCAGGGCAACCTGGATAAAATGAATTATCAGGGTCAATGGGAAGAATGTCCCTTACAATGGTGGTTGGTGGGATAAAAGCTCCCCTTTCAGTGCTGATCAGAAGGCAAACCTTACAGATTGTTAAAAGGTTATAAGTATCACGCTGTTGACTCTGCCAAGTGGAGTTAAACCCAGCATTATACAGATACTGTCAGGTGAGCGGGCACTAAGCAATTGCTCCAGGAACCTAGAAACCTCTGGAAGAACCTTAGTGTTCCAAAATGCCCTTGTTGGGAATGGCTACGTTAGATTAGAGCTAATAAAGCCATATTTTTTTTGCAATGATGAGGGCTCAGAAGCTTAAATCAGCTGTATGCAAGTTGGTTATACTGACTCTGTAAAATTATGGCTATATCTGTGTTCTAAACTAGTGTTTCTCAACCTTTTTTCAGTCAAGCCACCCTCTAAAATTATGGATAGTCCCGAGGCACCCTCTAAAATTATGTACAGTCCCAAGGCACCCTTTAAAATTATGGACAGTCCCGTGGCACCCTTTAAAATTATGGACAGTCCCGAGGCACCCTTTAAAATTATGGACAGTCCCGAGGCACCCTTTAAAATTACAGACAGTCCCCAGGCACCCTCTAAAAGTACGGACAGTCCCGAGGCACCCTTCAAAATTATGGACAGTCCCGAGGCACCCTTCAAAATTATGGACAGTCTTGAGGCACCCTCTAAAATTATGGACAGTCTTGAGGCACCCTCTAAAATTATGGACAGTCCTGAGGCACCCTTCAAAATTATGGACAGTCCCGAGGCACCCTTCAAAATTATGGACAGTCTTGAGGCACCCTCTAAAATTATGGACAGTCTTGAGGCACCCTTTAAAATTATGGACAGTCCTGAGGCACCCTTTAAAATTATGGACAGTCCCGCGGCACCCTTTAAAATTATGAACAGTCCTGAGTCAATCTCTAAAATTATGGAGCGTCCCGAGGCACCCTTCAAAATTATGGACAGTCCCGAGGCACCCTTCAAAATTATGGACAGTCTTGAGGCACCCTCTAAAATTATGGACAGTCTTGAGGCACCCTCTAAAATTATGGACAGTCCTGAGGCACCCTTCAAAATTATGGACAGTCCCGAGGCACCCTTCAAAATTATGGACAGTCTTGAGGCACCCTCTAAAATTATGGACAGTCTTGAGGCACCCTTTAAAATTATGGACAGTCCTGAGGCACCCTTTAAAATTATGGACAGTCCCGCGGCACCCTTTAAAATTATGAACAGTCCTGAGTCAATCTCTAAAATTATGGAGCGTCCCGAGGCACCCTTTAAAATTATGGACAGTCCCGCGGCACCCTTCAAAATTATGGACAGTCCTGAGTCAATCTCTAAAATTATGGAGAGTCCCGAGGCACCCTCTAAAATTATGAACAGTCCTGAGGCACCCTTTAAAATTATGGACAGTCCCAAGGCACCCTCTAAAATTATGGACAGTCCCGAGGCACCCTTTAATATGATGGACAGTCCAGAGGCACCCCATTCTAAAATGTGAAAAACTATTCTAATAGTTTTATATAACGCAGCAACATCCACACATGTAGGATGCCCAACATTAGAGGTGATTTATTCTTCCAAAGCAAATACAATTTTGCAAACTGGTACTGACTAGTATTCCAGTGTTTCTCCTCTACCTCAGTTTTCTCCATCACTGAGCTAATGTGACCCCAGCACTGATGGAGAGGGGAGGGGAGGGTCAAACTAGGATACTGTGCAGGCAGCTGACATCCTTATTATCAACTGACAATGTCATTGGTTGTCAGGATGCTGGCGGCTAAAGGGTTGTAATGGTGCACAATGAAAATCAGTGGCTTTGTGTAACTAAAAGGCAGGCTTGTTCCACCCGATGGCTTATATAAAAGTTTTTATGCAATTTTTAGACATTTTGCCAAGGCACCCCTGAAGAGACCTCAAGGCACCCCAGGGTGAGAAAGACTGATCTAAACTAGCAGTGCTGGATGCACTGAAAACAAAAAGAAATAACTTACACGACTGCCCACTTACCCATAAAGAGAGACTGAGGTCTGTCTATTTGAGTTTTGTGTTGGAAGTGAGGATGTAAAAATACCTTCTGTTATAAGAAGACAATGTATGCCTTGCTTAAATATGGAAACAAGATTGTAAGAAAGTAATATGCCTAGATACCTAGCTGAGTATTGGCAAATATAAAAATGCCCACTCCTAATCATTACACTTATATATGTAGGAGCCAGTGGCAATATTATGTTTAATTTTGCGAAGACTGTTCCTCCAAATCATAATGTTTCTATGACTATATTTTGCTAGTTGGAATATGATATCAAACTGTCTATACTTTTATTCTTTGTTTATTGATACTGTATGCTTTTGATCTGTGATTTTTTTTGCATACTGTTAGTGTGAAGTTCTGTAATAAAAAATTCAGAAAAATACTGAAACATAAAAAAAAGCATAAAGAAAGATGATCTACTTTGAAGGCATTGGGTGGCCATTCAAGTAATGATTTGTGATCCATTTAGATATGAGTAATAGCAGACACAAATTCATTATCAATTACAATATCAAATGATGGAACACATACGGTATTGAATGAAAATACATGTTGAGAATGATAATTTATCAATCTGTAATATGATTGGTTATCTGACACACATTCAGACAGTTGTTTGATTGATCAGAAACAATCAATAAAATTGTGTAACAGCTGATCAACTTGACAGCATCGAAACTTACTGAAAGTATAACTAAAGGCAACACTTTTGTTTATAGTTTTGGATAGAGTGGAGATGGAGTAGAATGCCTGTTAGGTTTCTGTTGCTGTCTGTGCCCCCATTAGAGGGATTCACCCCAGGGGCGGACTGACCATTCGAGCACTCAGGCACTGCCCAAGGGCCCGGGGTCAGTAGGGGGCCCCGCGAAATGCCCCTGGTACCTTTTTATATGCTTTTTTGGGTGTGCTTTGAGTGTGGGCAAGGACACAGGGGCCCCATCATCCCCTATTGCCCGGGGGCCCCATGAGTTGTCAGTCTGCCTCTGATTTACCCTCTCTGTCCTGTTTACCATGATCATCAAAAGTAAAAGAAAACCCCCAAATTTTAGGTTGTCCCTAGTAAAATAATAGAGGGGGAATATTCCAATGGGGACGCTAGTTCTTTTGACCTGGGGGTCCCCAATGAATTCCCTTGATTTACAGAGATTTTCTCACTTCCTGTTTTGGCTATGAGACAGGATATGAAGGTAAATCTCCCAAAAGGGACACAGATGGCAAAAAATAAACAGAAATGGTTATTATGACCTATAGTTCTACTTTACTGAAAGCTCAGTAAATCCATGAAATGGAAGGTCTGTGTGTACAATTGTTACTGAATTTAATAATTTTAGTCACATTGACTGATCGATTCAATGATCCTATACATGTGAGTTCACCTTTAAGAGCTAGCATAGGAAAAAAATGGAGTATGAAGGGGTTTATCTGTAAATGGTGGAGCATAACAGGAGCCATTGCAAGGGATGAGTGGAGCGATTCAAGCAAAATTGATTTTGCCATGAAATTTCCAATTTCATCAAAGTGGTAACTCACAATTTCACTCAATGAGTTTCTTCATTACAAATTGTTTGAAAAAAACCCAAACCTATTTTTAACATTTTTTTTGTAGTTTATGCAGGGTTGTTTGTTTTTTCATTTAATGTTTTTTTTTTTTCTTTTTTTTGTATTTAATTGCTAATTAATTGTTAATTGCATATTCTTGCTTTAAATGTTGTTTTACTTTTTTACTATCAGTTTTTTTTTCTGTGAAAACATATAAAATAATGAGGCTAATGAGGGGCACTTTTTTTCACAGTATCAGATTCAGGATAGTAAAAGGGATGCAAAACACTCAATATTCAATACAATTTCACTGCACCCTTACAAACTCCAAGCACCACCTCCGTCTTTTGTCTTCTCTATTGGCTCAAATGTATTTTTCTCAAAAGAGTAACCTTTTGCAGAAATCTTGAGTTTTGCAAAAATTTGGGGGGAAATGAAAACTCTCATTTTGGCTCATACCTAGCCATCACCCATAGCAACCAGTCAAATTTATCATCAAAGAGAATGATTTCTGTGGGCAAGAGATGAAATTAATCTTCAGTTTCCATCCTTCCAAACATTTAATGCAGAACTGCAGCCAAACATAACAAGAAAACTGTAATAGCCATTAAACGATTAAATGACAAAACCTGTTTTTGCTGCAATATTGAGCTTTAATCCACAGATTTACCCCACAGTACTTTCTTTCTGTCACTAGATGTCCTCAGTCTAATGACTAGCATTATTCAACCCACTTCCTCTGAGCCCAGGTCATACTGGACCTGTCACAGCCTGTGACTGGACAGTTAAATGAGAAGCACAGCAGTGACAAGCTCATTTCTCTGATCTCTCTTTGTATGGGCATGTGTCTTCCTCTTTCACTCCAACTCTGCTATACTGAGGCTGCTGCAAGGGGCTTATACCATGACAAATTCAGGTACTTAAAGTGGTTGCAAAGGCTGAAGTTTTTTTTAACCTTCATACATGCTATGCATGAAGTTAAAAAACCTTCACTATGCAGCTCTCCCCCCAGGTCCCCCCAATACTTATTTAAGCCTGATCCCGATCCAGCAATGTGCATTAGCATGGCTGCTGTCCCAGCTGTCTGCTTCCACACTGGCTTAGAGATAGCAGTGGCAGCTAATGGCTCCCGCTGCTGCCAATCACAACCAGTGAGGAGGGAGCAGGTGGTGGGGCAAAGCCCCGATGTCTGTGTCTATGGATCCCCCCTAGCAAGTGGCTTGCTAGGGGGGTACTCAAAGTGGGCAGGAGCACCAGTGGGGGACCCGAAAAGAGGAGGATCAGGGCTGCTCTGTGTAAAACCACTGCACAGAGCAGTTAAGTATAACATGTTTATTAATAAAAAAAGAGCCTTTATTATCATTTTAACCCCTTATGCACACTGGACGTTTTAATAACGCTGGTAACTTTAGCTGTGTAAAGTCACGTTAAAAGGTGCATTTTTCAGCTTTTTTTTAGCATTTTTGCATTAGCGTTTAGCAGCATTTTGCCATGTTTAGCAGCGTTTTTCTGTGTTTGCGGTTCTTGGTGTTTTTTTTTTACCAAAAAAAATTTTTTTTTGGTAAAAAAAGTCCAAAAATGCAATTTTGCACCATTTTACAACGATTTACTGTGTTTTGACGTGTTTTTCAGCAATAGAGCATTTTCCCAGCTAAAAAACTCCTCTAGAAAATTACTAGTCCTGGGTTTTTTTTACCAGCCAAAAAATGTTGATTACAGTCTATGTGTGCATGGACACGTGCTGGGGGTTTACTAGCTGTAGAAAAAAACATCAAAAGCCAAAAACAGCCGCTGTAAAAATGTCCAGGGTGCATGAGGGCTAAAGTAGAACTATAGGTAAAACGTTTTTTTCATTTTGAGACTTATACCCCTGTCAGGTCTATTTGCTATATGTGTCCCATTGGGGAGATTTACTTTCACTTAGTGACCCCATTGGAAAATTCCCCCTCTATTACTTTTCTGGGGACAACCCAAAAATATGGGACTTTCTTTTACTTTCACTTTCAGTGATAATTGTAAACAGGACAAATTGAAAGTGTTAGGCCCCTTTCAGACAGGGTGGACCCATCAGTGGATCTGTTTGCCCAGCGAGGGATCTCTCCGCTGATCCCCGCTGAACAAGCAGATGACAGGTCTGTGTCCGCTCTGCTACTGCAGAGTGGACACAGACACAGCCCGCTTTTTCCTATGGGTCGGTTGGATGGAAATGGACTGACTGTCCATTTTCACCCAACTGACAGGTCTGTGTCCGCTCTGCTACTGCAGAGTGGACACAGACACAGCCCGCTTTTTCCTATGGGTCGGTTGGATGGAAATGGACTGACTGTCCATTTTCACCCAACTGTCATCCGTTGCGATCCGCTGGACGGATGGGGAATGGATCCTCATCTGTCTGTTTTTGAAATACAGGATTGGATCAGACACTTGTATGCTGACACCCCGCAAGTCCATAGAGGTCTATGGATGGTCCGATCAGGTCTGCCTGAAAACTGACAGGCGGATTCGATCGGACTGTCAGTGTGAAAGGGGTCTAAATCTCCCTAATGGGGGTAGAGGTAGAAATAAAAATTTGATA